CCGGGTCACACACCCCGACCTCCCTCACCTCCGGGTCACACACCCCGACCTCCCTCACCTCCGGGTCACACACCCCAGGCTCCCTCACGTGCAGATCCCCCCCGGGTTTACTCACTTCCCCAGATCGGGATGTTCCTGCTCTCCGCCTTCATCACAATGGAGGACATGGTCATGGTGACAGGGATAGCATCAAAGTAGGACGAGTGTGGTGCCAGCGTCAGGATGGTGGCTTCGGTGGGCAGGGCCTGTTGTCCCTTCACGGCTATGCGGTGGAAGCCACCGGCAAACCACATAGTCCGCATGATGGCCTTCAACAGAAAGTCCACAACCCTGCAAAGAAGGCAGACGGTCAGCTAGGCTGCTGTCCTGGCGGACAAGGGTCAGCACAGGATGAGTGTGTGGTCAGCTCTGCTGTCCTGGAGGACAAGGGTCAGCACAGGATGAGCATGCGGTCAGCTCTGCTGTCCTGGAGGACAAGTGTCAGTACGGGACGAGCGTGCGGTCAGCTAGGCTGCTGTCCTGGAGGACAAGGGTCAGCACAGATTGAGTGTGCAGTCAGGTCTGCTCTGCTGTCCTGGAGGACAAGGGTCAGCACGGGATGAGCGTGTGGTCAGCTCTGCTGTCCTGGAGGACAAGGGTCAGCACAGGATGAGCGTGTGGTCAGCTCTGCTGTCCTGGAGGAGAAGGGTCAGCACAGGATGAGTGTGTGGTCAGGTCTGCTGTCCTGGAGGACAAGGGTCAGCACAGGATGAGTGTGTGGTCAGGTCTGCTCTGCTGTCCTGGAGGACAAGGGTCAGCACAGGATGAGCGTGTGGTCAGCTAGGTTGCTGTCCTGGAGGACAAGGGTCAGCACAGGATGAGCGTGTGGTCAGCTCTGCTGTCCTGGAGGACAAGGGTCAGCACAGGATGAGCGTGCGGTCAGGTCTGCTCTGCTGTCCTGGAGGACAAGGGTCAGCACGGGATGAGCGTGCGGTCAGCTCTGCTCGGGATGAGGGCACAGGGGATACCACAGAGGCTCCTGGCAGCTGCAGTGGCCGCTGTGGGGAAGGGATGTCTTGCTCACTTTCCCTGGGCACTGGCCAGCGAGTTTCTCTCATCTCTCAGACATGTGGAAGGCTCTCGCTGCCCACTGCAAAGCAACTCTTGGACAACACCCAGCCGCTCAGTGCTAACAGAACCAGCTGTGTCAAGAGGAAGACCAGCAGCCTGTCTACAGCATTTATCACATTTAAACCAAAGGGCATGGACACGTCGAGTGAATGTTAACACAGGGAATTCCGTGTCTATTTGGACTTCCCCAGACCTGTGCCCCCAGACGCTGCAGTTCCTGAAGCCGGACCTCACATGGTCAATGTGACTCCAGACAAAGCCAGATGGACATGAATGTGAAAAGCCCAGATGCCCTGCAGTGGCTGAATGGAGAAAACGTGGTATAGATACCCAACGGAGTGTTGGTGCGCCACGCTGGACGGCTCTGGAGACCAGGATGTTAACTGAACATTACCCGGGTTCAGAAGGAACAAGGCCACACGTTTTCTCTCATGTGTGATGCTGGACCCAAAAGATAAGCGTATGGGTCCACACAGGGTCATTCACGTACGCGCACGTGTGTATGAACAGTCCGACTGGAGTACAGGAAGGTGGGTGTATGAGAGCCCTTTGAGGGAGTAACAAGCGTTTAACAAGAATGAGTAATAGGAAGGTGAAATGCGTCCTGCGGGGAGCGGAAGCCAGAGGATGGTGAGTGTGACAAGTGCACGGGTGTCGGGGAG